TGATAAGATAGTAAACTCAAAAATTAGCAGAGAGAAATTAATGCTATTTATAATGGTTAGAACTAGATTTATTGCTTTTGTTTTAGTACCTTTCGAATTGACTGAGCTCATGTCATTTGTCTGTTGAATTGACATATTTTTGTAAGGCTTAACTAACCCCTGAACTTTGACATGTGCTTTCAGAATCCAAAAAGTGGCATAACTCCTCGAACCACAACAATGACTTTTACCTGTTTTGTGTTTTTTGACCTCTTCAATGCCCTGACATGCCGCTCTCAGGTGAGACCACTCTGTCAGCAAAACCCTCACTTAAACATTAGAATTCTAGTATCTTGCACAGCAAGGGGTTTTTTTTAAATTTCATTTAAAGCAGCATGATTTTTATCATCTTTATAAACAAAGTTATCCATCACAGCCCAACTGTAACTACACTTTCAACTATGTAGTGCTGCCTAAGTTAGCATTCGTGTAGCTTCAAAAAGTAATCGAGTTTACATGCAAAGTAACAGTCTAACACTCAGGTACCAGCTGGAGAAAGGGAAATGTTACATTTCTCTTTTTTTTTTTTTTTTTCCCCTAGACAAAGCTGATATCTGAAATCGGCTTCTTTCGAAACCGCATGTTCTTGTATTCTGTGCTTGGGTCATTTCTGGGACAGCTGGCTGTTATATATGTGCCTCCATTACAAAAGATCTTCCAGACAGAGAATTTAGGAGTGCTAGGTAAGCTGCAAAATAAATAATGTGGTGGTTTTTATTCATTAAAGCTACTTTAAAAAGCAGATGAGATTGCCAAATTGTTACATGATAGCTCCCAACAGATTGCTGGTAGGGGCAATCAATCAACAGTTCGTATACCTGTATACATACACATAGCTATACACAAATAGTAGTAGTATTTAAAGCTATTATCCCAGCCGAGGTTTTGAGTTTTGATTTACTGCACATAAATGCCGACATGCCAAGATCTTCCACAAGATCTGCATGATGATGATTTCTCTACCATATGTCTATCTAGGTTCATTATGCAGTCACTCTATTTTGAAAAAGCAGGGTGAATGTTTCCTAGCATATTTTACCATTTGCATCAGTCTAAGCAAACTCTACCATACCACATTGTACCGCATCTACACCAGGCATGCTGTTAGAAGCAGGGTTCAGTGATCCCAAATGATTTATGCAGAGGTTACCACCCATGAAGTGGACTACACCAACCTACTGTATGGGTATTCCTTGTCTATCGCAGTCATTTCTTGAATTCTGCAGTTAGCAAAAGCATATCTAGGCCATACACCTATGGCATTATACCAGCATAAATATCTGCTGCAGGAAGGCCATTAACTGGGGATTCCTGAGAGCACAAAATCCAGCTGTCTACTGTGCTCATCTCTGCTCTGTTTCCTCTTGGCAGACCTGCTGTTTCTCACCGGACTGGCTTCCTCAGTTTTCATTGTGTCCGAGTTTGTCAAACTCTGTGAAAAACACTGCTGCCGACCAAAGGACACAAAGGGATGCCATAACTGATGCAAACTTCCTCTAAAGATACACTTGGAACGGAGCTGTGACGCTGGATAATCCAAAAGCACCATTTTCTGACGCCGCACATCCTTTCTGCAGATACAAGCGAATGTGTATGAACAATTCTTCCTACTCCAGAGTCTGTTCCTTCTGCACACTCTGCCTACGCTGTTTGAGCTGTCTACAGAAACCTGCGGAGCAGCTCCTGTTTTAAACCAGGATCAGGTATATTTTTATAACATTGATCTATATGTCAAGAATGCTGTGATAGTCCCAGACAAAATAACACAATTTCACACCTGTACAGAAAAATCTGTTGTGCCTAAAGTGAAATTTTATTTATTTAAATCAAAATGATTTTTATTAATAAAAATCTACATTTTAAAATGTTACTTACAAGTATCTGAATGAGACTTTTGATTTAGACCCGTCCTTCTACATTAAATTAGAAGAATGGAAAATACCTGCCTTCACCAGCAGTTCTTTTCCTATAGTCATTCCATAGTGTTTCTACATTCCCAGATATCTAGCCTTGATTCAGCAAGACTCTCAAGGAAACTGTGGGGAGATGTCAAACAAAGAGCAGAGAGCTGAAGTGCTAACCCTTGGCTGTCAGCTTTTGCCAGACACCGCGGTGACTTTTTTGTACCTTTGTGACTAATGGGAGCAAACTGGAAGGCTGACCTGGTCTGACGCACAGTACTGGATGGACATAATGGGGAAGGGACTCACTTTCACAAGTGCGTGAGAATAAAGATGACTCATGTACACAGCAGGGATGTTCAGCTTTGCTGCTGGATCAATACCTGCACAGAACTGATTGAGAGGTGTTTAGATCATAGCTAAGCCCACTGCTGACAAACACTTTCTGCACATTTTTAGACATAAGAACACGAAGCACAAATGCTTAATCATCAGGTTCAGGAAAAAAAGAAACGTTGAGCCTCTTTCAAGCCCATCTTTTACATCTAAAGAACAATTTTGAATAATCCCATCTGCTGGTTGGATCAGTAGTGTCCTAGTAAATAAAACTTCACTGATACATTTGCTATAGTGCCATAGTGTCAGCTTTCCTTTTGTCCCAGCTTAACACCTTCACTTCAAAGTGAAGACTGAGAGTCTCAGATACAAACTTGCCAAAAAACACAATTTCAGAGGTTAAAACGCTACGCTATCTTCACAAGATGATATTTAAACAGGATTACATTTGGGATTCATAGCCTAGAGAGAACCAGCTATACTGATACTTATTTTACATCAAAGAAAACCGGGCCACTGAAATATTTTTGGTGAAGAGTAGCATTGTGCAATTCGCCCTCCCCAGCTATGGTCTGCAAAGGTATCTGGTCACTAGTTATTTTGAAAATCCTTGCAAATCATTTCAGTCCTCAAAGAAAAGTCTCTGTCTTGTAACAGAAGGAAAAGAAAGTCTAGTTGTTTATTTCACGTGTAACCGCAGAAATTCAACTGTGTCTCATTCCTGTATGCCGTCCCCTTCAAGTTTTTAGGATGCTTTGTCAGTGTCTAAGTGAAGAATACCTCTGAGACTTATGGTGGGAGTTTGAGAATGTTAAAACAAAATCCAGCATCACCACACTTAGACAGCATCGTGTACTTACTTGCTGTAGCACTCCCTACCTTGTACCATTTAAACTTCTTATTAAAATATACAGAGAAGGAAATTATACAAAAGCATCAGTGTAAATGTTTTAATGCTTACCTTTTTTTTCTATGTGTTACAAACTTGGGAGACTATGCAGTTTATTTAAGCAAACACAAGATAAAAGGATATTAGTTCAGGCCTTTCACGGCATACTCTGTACTAGAACAGATACCTATACGCCCCAATCATTAGCTCAGGTAGCATACAAAATGCATTGTTGAGTCCTAGGATGCCTGGTTGAAGTGATGTCTTCATGCTCTCCTTTCAAGGCTAAATTCATATTGTTTAATAGAATTTTAAAAAACAGGATCTATATTAAGGCACAAGAGCAGATTTTTCATAGGGAGCCAGATTTGAATATTCTGAATAACATCGGGTGGAAAAAAAAAGGCCCCATACAAGAAAATGCTAATGGAAAGAATTTGAAGGAAGGCCACATAACCAGGAATCCCAGTATTTTTATAGACCATTACAGCACATTTTGTGCTCTAAACTGCATGGAAGACAAACTCCTGCTGGGACAGAGGGGATTTGATACATTCCTTTTGCTTAGGAGGAGAAAGGCTGACAATCACACATACTAATAACCAAACACAATCTGCTGAGTTAGAAATGATGGTCCCCGGCAGAAATGAGGGTTATTTCTGACAAGTGAATTACACATAGAATTAGCAAGGTCAAACTAACTAATAAAACTAATGATGGGAATGGATTCAAGCAGAAAAAGCCTGGAGTATAATAGATTTCACAAAACTGGTGAACAGCCAACAAAACAGAGAAAACACCCCAACCCACTAGTCATATTTCACAGTGTCACAGTGTGGGCATTTTTTTCCATAATATGGTAATGATTATGTGGAAATAAAGTGTACAGCAGTCTTCTTTAAACATGCTACAGACATAGCCCTGTTTGGTTTTTTTTTAACAAGGTATCTGCAGATACTATTCCCAATTAACTGTGGATGCTTCTTACTTAATTGTTTTTACAGCCTGATCTTTTATTCCATTCTCAAGTGAAGCTACTAAAGAAGGCACCTTATCTAGAGAATTTCTGGTGAAGGTATGGCCCAATCTTAGGATAAATACAGCTGAATGAATCCCAATGGCTCTCTTCTATGAAGCTTAAAAAACAATAGGCAAACTTCTGCAGAAATATCTTAAGTGAAATGCATTAAGGTGTAGTGTAGCATGGTAAAACTGGCTGCTGTGTACATAGCATTCCAGACACCGTACAGCCCATATAGTCACTTGCTGAAAATCTGACTTAGGAAACATGAAATTTAATGCTTTAACTGGGGCAATGAAAATTAATATCATCCTTCATATGGAATCATGTGGACTATTCTCTGTTTACCAATGTAAGACATCATTACAATTTGCAAGCTTCACTGATTAATTTCATTGCATGTAAATAAATATGTGCAGTTGAGGTATACGAGCCTTAAGCAGTGTCTTCAACAGTCTTTATAAAAATATATATCAATTCTCCAAGTCAGCAAGCTGTACTGTCAACAACTAGTTCTTCTGTTTTTAATTCTGTATGGAGACAGGATCTATGAGGAATACTAGCAAATTCATATTCAGCTAGAACTCAGAGATCTCTAATGATAAGTTAGTTTTTCTGTCCTCCCCAGACAAAACCCTTTAGGCAGGATATTGTATTGGACCTAAATATTACATAAGTATGAGGCTTAAGCTTTGTCCCAGATAATTAGGTAAACATAAGGGAAAAAAATTAGGAAAAAATACTCTGTCCAAGGAACATTAACACTCAGGAACAAAAAAAAAGAAAAACCACAAAAGTTTTTCGTGTTACTGTGATTCTTTTAGCTATCGTCATCATCATCGTCTTCAATGGGTTCTCGCAGACCTTCGCTCTGACGACTTTTTCCAGCCATTTCTAGCAAGGCCTGAGCCTCAGGGTCTACATCCAGGATACTCTTACCTTTTGTCTTCAAAATAAAATAAAGTACAGTCAATTTAAATGTCATTATGAAAAAATCAATATCAGGCTACAAGAAAGAGACATATTGAAAAGTCCACAAGCAATCTGGTTTGCAAGCTAGTCAGAATGAAGAATATATACTTTCCAATAAAGGCATTTGAGATTCACTGGGATACATCAAATTGTTTTTATTGCTGCAGTTATACAAAATAGTCAAAATTTTCCTAAGATGATAGTGAACTAGTTCAAGTTTATTCAGGTTACAAGCCAGCCAGAACATCCTGGTTAACCTGACCTCAATTTGAAGTGCAGATGTGAACTTTGTTTTTTTTTTTTTAAGAGATTCAAGTGCAATTCAACATTTTTGGTAAACAATTTGTTCTGTTTCTATTTAGAGCTGTGTGTCCAGTGAAAAAACAGGGCACATGAATTTCTTATGAAAAGAAATAAAAATTTAAAAGAAAAAAACCAACACCAAAACATGCAGACCTGACAGTTTAATAAGAGAATAAATTACAGGGACAGAAGAGACTGGAAAGAGGTCTCCTACTCATTCCCAGAAATAAATCAGAGGCAAAAAGACTAGCATAAATCTATTGACGTAAATTTACTGTAAAACTATAGTAAATTTGAAGTTACCGATCAAGAAATCCTGTGGGTTCTCTTCCTGAGCTACAGATTAGGATTTACTTGTGAGCTTCCGGTGCTTGCCTTCTGTTTTACAAACACTGGGTTTTAATGAACCCCTCCAAGGAGGTTCCTCCTGGAAACCACTCCCGAATATCAGCAAGGCCTACTGAAATTCACAATAAAGCACAGCTCTTCTGACTCTACCACTTCATGGCCCCTCGTGTTGTTTCTTGTTGGCATCCTCAATAATTCCACTACTGTTTTGCCATTTACTTGCTACAAAACACATGCCCATCACAGGGCCAGTTAAAGAAAACATTATTCATTACAATGGAGAGACAGCATTTAATCAGAAAACTGCAACTGCAAGTTCTGCATTTGCATCTCCTGTTCCAATCAGGACACAATTTCACAGGTTTAAATTTTGTTCACCTACCCCTGCACTTTCAGTAAGGTCTCCCACTGCCCAAACTTCCATGGCATCCAACGTAAAATCCTCTTTAGCTGACAGCTGGGGACTGTTGTAGGTGGTACATCGAGGTTTTGCTTTACTGTGTCCCTTCCCATAGTCACTGTCTACCCAGAGTCCGAAGTACCCATGCTGTCCACCCATACCCTGCGAACCAAAGCAGTACAGTAAACACTTGCTGCACGTGTTAAACAGACTGGCAAGTTAGAAAAGATAGAGTATAAATTGCTATTTTCAGTATTTCAGCTACCCTTCTATATGTAGGTGATAAAGGGTATTCTGAGTGAACCTGGGCTTCTGTACCAAAATCCAGTACTCCAGCAGACAATCAAGAATTTACCTGAGTGGTACTGCTCTCCCTCTAAGCTTTACAGGCTACCAGTATCTGTAAGCACTTCAGCTGTGTCTTCTGCCAGAAATTTAGATCACTGGCTTTTGTTTATTGACTAATGGTTCCATTTTAAACAGGGTGAAAGTGCTCAGTTTTGCTGTCTCTTTTCCATTTAGAAAAGTATCTACAGAAACAAGTGATCTGATTTGATGTTGTTTGCTTTCTTCAGAGCAAATTTACTCCAGACTGCTGCAATTCCCAAAGTTATGGGCACATAATGCCACAAAACTCTAAGGCATTTTTGCAAAATAGGCAACGCGTTGCAGCTCTGTAGAAACTCCTCTGCATTTGGAGAGCTCATTCATGGACTTGAGTAAAAGGAGTTTCTGCCACTGTCATTACACAACAGTAGCAGCCTGCATGCAACTCTTGTACTCCAATTCTGTTGGGCTTTCTCAGCCTTCCATAATTTGAAAAGTAGCTAGTGTGGCAGTGACAACAGCCAGCAGAAGGATCCTCAATTACATAGATCTGCTAGCTTGAGCTGCTTCAGTGATGCGGATATGTGCAGTCAATTCTGGGCAACAGGGAGGACTGCTAGAGGGGCTTCCATGATAACCAAACCTGGCAAAAAGATTTCTTCCCAGAACCTCCATAAATCTAACCTACATAAAGCCCATCTCCTCGGATCAGACACAAATGAATTCCACCTTAGCTGATTCAGTACTTCAATATACATACCTACTGTAAAGAAAAGTACAGACTCTGTCAATACTGTAACTGGTTCTCCATCGTCACCCATAGTTCACACTTTACACTGATGCTTTAACAAAAAAAAAGAAAAAAATCCTCATGCTAAAAGTGTGGCACAAATAGCACAGTGAAGGGATGAAAACTTCCTCAGAGATTAACAAGTGAAATAAGTCTGCTCACAGTAACAGAAGCAAAAAAACACCAAACACTTCCAAACACCAGCCATGAATCCAATTTCCAAATTGCCATTTCTTAATACTTACAAGTCCATTTGGCATTGTTTGTTGGCCATGGTTCAAATACATGTAGTGGTCATTATACCCTGTGTATGGGTATACAGCAAGGGAGGGGAAAACAGAGAAAAGAAAGCATCTGTTGTCACCTGTAAATAGAAAAGCATCTAAGGTCAGACAACTGGCCAAGCAATAACTTGCCTACAAATAGGATTCGAAAAAAATACTGAAGAAGTGCAGCTGAATAAATCAAAGACAACAGCTGCAATCTCAGAAAGCCAATACCTACCTCTCATCAAGATCTAGACCTATTCTTTACTCTCAGTTAACTCTGAGCAGGGTCACAGAAATCAATGTGCTTATACGGCTGTGACCAAGGACAGAGTCAGAGGCATGACTAGTACATCACAGTACTATGTAAGGGTACACCTATCACAGGCTTGCATTGTATCATCTAAAACTGGCCAGCTGCTAGACCTGTACAAACTGATACGAGTGCAGACACTCCTAGTTCTGACTATATGGATATATAGATCAGTTTAGGGTCAATGACTGAGATTATAATTTTTATTATGCCCAGTCTGGCACTCAGACGGACCTGTGGTGTGATTGCCTAGTACCCTGCATGCGTTATTCTATCAGGAAAAAACACAAGGGAACTGTTGTGTAATCAACATAACATAATGTTATATTAACTGACTGAAGTGGTAATTATTAAGTACTAATTAAATATAGGAATTTAGTTTTCAATGTAGCAAAAGTGAGGATTCCCAGCAGGAAGATTGTACACAGAGTCCATATTTTTTTTTCAGAAAGCCATCACAAAAGTTCTTTCGAAATAGTTGCAAAAAAACCCTCTCTTCTCCCCAGAAGATTCAAGGGAAAAAAAGTTTATCTTGTCCAAAAGACCCTTTTGCTGCTGGATTTTAAAAGGGAAACAAAACCAGACAGACAAGACAGTGCACAAAAGGCAACAGGAGGCTCAGCCTGGTGTTTAGCTCAGCTGTTCTGAGATGGAAGATTGCCATCTGCTGGACGCGATATTTAAATGCGAATTCCTCCTCTATGCTGTATTTCCTTCATTTTAATTTGATTTTCAACCTATGCAGCTACAGGCATTGATAGATTTCACTGAAAAGAAAACTTGTTCTATGATCAGTAAGTCCTTCAACTTTAAAAGTCTTGCCAAATAAGACAAACTATAAACATTCATAAGTAATATGCCCGACTGGGTACAAAGCGGGAATAAGTTTGCACATACATTTTTCAAAAATAAGTGTTATTTCTGCCACAGGAAAATGCACTTGAAAGTATAAGAAATACTGCACATCATGAAAGTAAAATGACAGTATCCGTTAAGTGGACCAGAGTCCTGTACCTGTACAGAACAGGCAATGTTTGCCAGAGCCGCGAGATACTACAAAAGAAAAGTAAGTTTTACCTTGAAACTGTGGCTTCACCTCCCAGGAGTGAGATGCAAACCCACCAAAGATATAACCATCTAAGTCCTTTAAGATCACTATACAAGGACCTTTGTTCACTATATGCCCACATAACTGTGAAAAGCTTTCTCCATGCAGCCTAGAAGAAAATAAAAGCTGCCACTTGTGCTGTAGCTCTGCAGGCAGATGGGAGTTGATGTATATGATGGATGGGATGTCAAAGAGACTGACAAGTCCTCTTCTTTTGATGCCTTTGCAGGCTGGAACCAGGTTGAGTATGTCTTTGGTTTGGTCTGGGACAGAATGCAGAACATGAAGGCCTTGCCTGATAACAACACTGAGGAAAATTGAGATCTGTGGAACTCGGTACACCCAATCCTCAATGACACTTTGATCAAAATTTGTCTCCATCAGCTGAGGACCCACAGGTTTTGTTCCATCTAAATAATAAGACACAAAAGAACAGTAGTAAGTCTCCCAGTCTGTACCTCCCCTCTGGGAAATAATCACTTGATTTTTAAGTGTAAACACAATATTCCATTATTTTAATAGACATGGAAACACATATAAAAGGAACCAGCAACAGTGAAATTGCATTAACCTGATGCATCCACAGAAATGAGAAACATTTGTCTGTGACATCCATTGGTTGGGCTGTCATGATTAAGAAACATGGACTCCCAGTCACAATTTATGAGATGTTCTTTGCAAGACAGCAAAATATATTATTATAACAGTGCAACAATAAACCTATGCTTTGTAAAAGGACATACAGTCGCATATATATGCACATGCATCTAAACGCCTGTCACCTGCAAGTCAAGCATTTGTAAAATAGACGCGTTCCACAACAGTTTTCCATGTGCACTGAAACTGGGAGTTCAAACCAAAGCTCTCCTGAATTTAGGGGAGAAAGATGGTAAGGTAGAATAAATAAAATTCCCTAGACATCAGAAAAGCACTAGGTTTGAAATAACAGTCTCACCATTTAAATTCAAAGATGTGACTTGAAGAGAAAAATTCTTGTGAGATCAGTGATCACGTGAGCTCTACACCATTCTGGGATATATTATATTAGTGCTGCTTACCTGCAAGCTTCAATTCTGATAGCAGCTGAGAAGCCAGAGCCTTTACTCCACCTGCAGAATCCCCAGTATTCTCCAAATTCCAACCTTTCAGTTCCTTCCTGTAGCTCAGTACGTGGACTACAGACATGATCAGATCCTCTGTGAACTTAAAAGGTTAAAACATTACCATTTTGGCATTTCTGAAATAAAATTGTGAAGAGCTTCAAAGGACTTTCTGTAAATAATGTCAAGTGGTACTGATGCTGTAATCCCAATGGTAGAAACATCTCTTCTCACGACGAGTCAGGAATAACAGAAATGCCATTTCACTGTCACAGGTCTTGAAAAGTATCCTTTTTCAAGACATTTTGTAAATGTTGCTTCACAAAGCATCTCCATAAAACAGCACAAAAGAGGAAGGGGAGGTCCAAATTTTGCAGTCGTAGGAGTAGCTAGTGAATAACTCTTGTGTGAGACTCCATTCTTCCACCTTGCAAGCTACGTATTTGATTCACATGTCTATCCTGCAACTAAAGCTCTAGAAAGTATTTTGCTCAGTTCCCAGAAGCACCAGCCACACCACAACACTTGCTGCCTCTTAAGTACAGCCAGCCTCTGCACCCTTCAGAGTAAGCTTGTGAACCGTCAGACAGATCGGTTGGTGGGCTCCACAAAATCCAGGTCCTGGTTCTCAAAGTAGGCAAGTCAGCATGGAAAAGCCCACGTCTGAAACGGTCATCCCATACAACCTCGTTCACCTACACTGTTTGTCCCAGATCTGCAAGTCAGTGGTAAAGAGATTAAAAAATACAGAAGTCAGGAATCCCTGTTCTGAATCTTGTACTCTAAAGATTACATGCGAATTACCTACCCATCTCTGTTCTCTTACTGTCTCCCCAACACACGTTGTTAAACTGCCTGTTTACCTCTTGGATTTGTTTGCCCTTCACGGGCCCTTCTGTTTCGGAGATCATTCTCATTATTATGGTAATCTTCTCATCTGCATTCCCTTTTAAGAGGTTTGACATAAAAATTACAAACTGCTCCTTAGCAATCTGTTCACTCAGCCCAGATGATTTTCCAGTCAGGTCAATACTTTTCATTCCGTTGTATAACCGAACAGTCATTTGCTCTGGTAATGGCTCTTGCATATATGCCTACAATGAGAAAAAGAGCAAAAACCATGTTTTAAAAAAGAAGAATAACTAATATATTCCAGCTAATCTGTGCTGAGGTGTCTCTCTACTATGAATGAAGGATTTCGATACCAAGTATCTCCTATCAGCAACAAACTTCTGTCAAAGGACTGGTTTTCAAAGAGAAAAAAAAAAAAACAACTCTGTTTTTATAGTATCTCCTTTCCAATATAATTTAGTGTATTTACAATTTTTTTATTTACAATTAGGGTACAATTTAGGACTCTGCCAGTCCAATATTTAAAACTGTGTTTTAGCCCTGCTTTCGACAGAGGAGCTCACAGATACTTCAAACAAAAGAGTAAGTAAAGTTTTTTCCATATCTCAGTTTTGGCCTCAAGACAATGCAGGCAATGTGTTTAACATAGAAACCATTCTGAGAAGTTTTCCTCAACACAGCAATGTCTATTCCAAGCACGGAACAAAACTGAGATCACCTGATTTTTATAAGGCTTCCCTGATGTTAAGGCAATCGAAATCAAAACTTACTAATCTAAACTGCACGACTGGCCCTTTGAATTGAAACCTGGCTGGTATACATCATCATGCATCACAACACTGTGGGAAAGATCCGACTCTGGATCCAAGAAACTTTCACACTGTTCAAGATAATTATATGGTTTAAAAATAAACCACCTAAAACACATCCATAAACTAGGACATGATTCCACAGAGTCTTCACCGCGCAAAGCACTGTGCGTTAACATGCTGCATACCTGACCTGACTCTTACCCACAGGGATGCAGCCCAGTGGGGTCTATGCTGAAATCAATGAAGCTCCACCTGCGTAAAAGCACTCCAGCTCTATTCAGTGGAGCTGCTATTACCAAGCTATTGGTGGCTCAGTACCACTCTTATTGAAGCCACCAGGGCCGTTCCTGTTTGATGTTAATGGCTGTTGCTGTGCATGTAGGGCGAGATTCCATACGCCAAGCTCTACCCTGCTTTTGTTGACATCAGTGGTAAAACTCCCATTGATTTCAGCAGAAGCAGAATTAGCAGCCACAGTCTTGCATGTTAGAGTGCTTCATATTGAGGGAGGGATGGTCCCAGGGGGTGCAGCTGTCTTTAAGAGGCTTTCTAAAAGTGCTACATGGGCCTGAAGTGAGACAAGCAGTAGGGAACATAGTTAGAAACACTATACTCGAGGGCTTTTTACTTCACGCTGCTGTACTACCTACCTACTCCCTACCCATTCCTACCCACCACTAACTTTGTTGCACTGTTTTGTTATGCTTATAGCTATTCCAGTGAGTAGACATGGGGTGTGAAAAAGGAGGACTGTAAAAAAGGAGGACTTTAATAAACATCCAATAAACTCACACCTCTAACAATTTAGAATCCTTGTCTTAAATGGCTTGAAGAAAGCATCTAGAGATACTTGCTCTGCCTGCTTTCCAAGCTACACTGTGCAGCTTGCTCTGGTCCAGAAGCCATGGAGTTTCCCTCTAGCAAAGCACTGAGCCTAAGCAGAGTACACGGGGTTGTGCTTGGGCCCTCATCAGTGTTACCACACTGTTGCTAGATCTAGCTCAGGCATGAGCATAGACATCTACAAGGCAGGCATGGCACTGCAATAGTCCCTGCACCAAGGAATTAGGCACCTACAGGCACGCTTTCAAAAGATTTTAAGTTGGCAAACAAAAAGGTAGGAAGGGAAAAGACAAATGTTCATCAAACGTCACATTGATCTAGGGTCAAAGCTGGGAAAAGAACCTCTCCCAGGTCCCAGTGAAATAACAGACACCAAGGACCAGGCTCTTGGTCATGCTGGGGCTGAAGGCTGGGCAGCAACAACACTGCTTCCACTGATAGCTCATAAACAGCCAGGCTGGAGGCAGGCTAACGCTGGTCTGTATGCAGCTGCATTGCTAAATACCTTAAAATACCCTGCTTCTTTCCTGGAGTTTTAAATTGGTTCCATAAACTGTGTAGCATATATAAACATGCACTTTTAATACCATATTCATTTGGCCACTTGGTTCCTGCCTAACTGAAGCTATCAAGTATTGCAACGAATCATTTTCCTCTTCTTTCTTGATTAGAAAATGAATGCAAAGTTAATCAGAAAGCATAATGTATGTTAACTAGCTAAAACAGGGAGCCACAGCTTAATCGAGCAAAATTGAATTCTCTCCTTTTAATGCAAGTGAAAAGATTAGAGATGGTGGTGCAACTGATGGAGAAAGATACAACCAAAACACAAACTGACTTCTTCACAGCTTCTCAAGAAAATCTGTAAATAATCACACACTATAGGCTCCAGGAGAAAGAATATTCTTCCCATTTTTCAGCTTTTCTGTAAAAATATTTTTGTACTTCCCAACTTACTTCAGAATGAGGAAAGCTGCAAATTGACCCAACAGTGCAATTTAAGAGACAAATACAAACCTGAAAGTCACTACTCATGTTAAATATCCATCCTGCCCCAAAACATTAAGTATTAAATTGAGACGGGCAGTCCTTTAAAAGTAACTTTTGCTATGTCTTTAGTTTCCTTCTGGAATTGTGTTCAATACACTATAGTCCAGACATATCAAGAATAATAGATTGTCTTGCCTGTAGTGCTGCCAGAGTCACAGTTTTCTTTGTAGCTTTGCCATTTTTTGCTCCAGCTGAGCGACTTGATCCTGATAAGGTATCAAACACTCCATCAATGTCAGACTGCTCCTCAGGAAGAAATCTGGAAAGGTGATTCCGATAGGCATTGCTTTCGGCATTTCCCATCTTTTCAACCTGAAGCAAAGGAAAAGGAATAAAAAAAGACCCCAGTAAACACAGAAAGGTATCACGATGGCCATGCAAGACATACCAAACAGACTCACATACCCGTGCAAGTTTGACAAAAGGAGCAAATTGCTAGCCTTCCAGGAAAATATTCTTAAATCTACTGTTTTAGTCTCTGCAGTCACTGAGACTTGATGAACTTGAAGCACATCCGTGAACAGTAACCCTGCTTTATAAACTGACAGTCCGTCCGCTCTTTGCTAAGACCACCCTGTCTACCAATTCAAACCTCATTCAAGCCTCATCAACTGGAAAAACCAATATGATTCAATGACTAAATTAGCTTGTGCAAAGGGCCCAAAAGCCTGTCAGCTGTAATACATCAAACATGAAGGGAATAGCCTGATTATGGATTGTTTATAACAGATTATGCTACATCTCTCTGATGCATTAACGGACTGAAGCTAGTCTGCCAATAACACGTGGCACAAACACCATCAATGTAAATTCTCTGAAGATGACATGAGAATGTCTTTTCTGAGGACGCAATACAAAAATCATTCAAAAAGCTGGCAAGAAACACAGTAAAAAAACATTCTGGAAGACGACTGAAGAGCCATCAGAAACACACAGCTTCATTCAAAGTCAACAAATTGTTGAGAGCTGGTACTCACAGAATTAAAGTTAGCAGGGGGTTGGTTTGGGGTTTGTTTGTTTGACACTTTTAATGGCACAACTATGATTTCTCTCACTGTCTCAGGATTTACCTCCATTACAGAGAGTAATCCAGGAGTTTTTTAGTGTTGTTTGGGCCACAAGCTCTGGCTTTCTCCCTGGAGCAGCACAGAGCTGACCTAACAGTGCCACAGTGGGGTCTGACATCCTGAATTCCACCACGACCACAATGGCAGTCACCACCGTAAACAGCCCTCCCAGCCACCCAGGGTAGACACACGCCTGGGGTGACAATACAAAAAAGATGACAAGCAGAATAAAACACTCTTTTCATGGGTTTTTTTTCCCCACAAATTCTACATCCTTTCTAGCACCTTGCTTTTAGTTTGGGATTCCCAGTTCCACGGCAATCTCTTTTTGCAGACAAGCCGTTGCACAGCCCTTCAGCGGCCTCAGAAAGACTCCTTGCTTAGCCTAACCCAATCTTCCTGCCGTTAACTGCTGCTGACGGACTCCGACAAAGAACCGTACGCAAGAGCCTGGGTTGGGCTTCTTCACCTTCGCTGCACCCTACAGGCCCCAGCGCCTTGTTTCCCTGGGAGGAAGGCGTCAACCACAGGTGAACACCACAGGCTTAATGGAAACGGCAGAAACCTGGAAGACAAACCGTGAGGGCGTCACTGACTCCAGCAGGGAACCGCTGCAGGACAGAGGTGCTCGGCCCCTCTCCCTCAGCCCGGGGAAAGGGAAGGGGGGCCGGTTCCCGCCGGGAGAGGCCTGGTTTCGGCAGC